GGGTTACATCAAATTTGATAAAAATACAATATACACAATTAACACACAATTAACACAATTAAAACACTAGTAAAATACCACAATGGCCTTCATACGGTGTCATTGTCATTGCCATTAAAACCTCACAGATGCCAACTCTGGTATGCCGTTCTGACCTGTTGAGGGGAGGCCCAGTAAAGAGGGAGGGACATCCGTCACCCTAGTTTAAAGCCTGGCGAAAGAGCTCCATCTTGCAGGCCCTGCAGAACTGTAAAAGGTCCTGCAGGGCCATGATCTCGTATGGGAGCTCATTACACCAGGTAGGATCCAGGGCTGAAAAGGCCCTGGCCCTAGTTGAGGTGAGGCGGATGTCCCTGGGGCCAGGGACCACGAGAAGATGTTGACTGGCAAATCATCAAGCCCTTCGGGGCTCACAGAGGGAGAGGTGGTCTTGCAGATATGCAGGCCCTTGGCTGTATAGGGCTTTAAAGGTAAGCACCAACACCTTGAAACAGATCCGGTACTCAATAGGCATCAAGTGCAGTTCGCATAGCACCGGGTGGATGTGGGTCCGCACAGGCAGCAACATCAGTACCCGTGCTGCTGTGTTCTGCACCAGCTGCAGTTTCCAGAGCAGAATCAAGAACATGGGAATATAGGACAAGTTAAGCAGACACTTGTTCTGTATAGTGCTGACTTTCTTAGGCACAATACGTTTGTTGTTGTGGCGGTGGTGGTTTCTGCAGTATAAGAAGATTCACTCCCCCCCCCCACTGTTCTGTATGTGAAATTCCCATTTTGCTTTTATTTCCATACATTGTATTGATTTTAGAGCTGTTTTACCTTTTCTAATAATTTTGGAGCCTGCGATGTATTTGATCTGATGACAAGAAATGATAGATGTAATAGTAAATAGAGGAGGAGAAGAAGGAGGAGATTGGATTTATACCCCGCCCTTCACTCGGAGTCTCAGAGCGGCTTACAAACTCCTTTCTCTTCCCCTCCCCACAACAAACACCCTGTGAGGTAGGTGGGGCTGAGAGAGCTCTTTCGAGAACTGCTCTTTCAAGAACAGCTCTGACAGAACTATGGCTTGCCCAAGGTCATCCAGCTGCTGCAAGTGGAGGAGTGGGAAATCAAACCCGGTTCTCCCAGATTAGAGTCCGTGCACTTAACCACTACACCAAACCACTACGCCAAATACAAATGCATAAAGTAGATTAGTGGTATGTCTCATACTAAATGTCTTTTGATTTTACTATGCACTATTATACATAATACTCAATAGTATTAAATATCTTTTGGGTGGGATTAAGACAAGGACTGCTTAAGTTTTATGGAAGAGAATGAGACTTGCTAATTTATATAGTATGGTGTATAGAGAAAAAGTTAGCGGACTGGGACTCTCTAGTTCAGGGGTGTTGGACTCACTGGAAATGTGTTATTTAAAGTTTTAAAAACTCTTTAATTGTGTTTGTCTGTGTCCTTTATAAAGTTTATATCTCCACTACCTGGCATTACCTTTTATGACACACATGGCCTGGTCCAACATCTTATTTATGTCTGATATGGCCCTCATAACAAATGAGTTCGACACCCCTGCTCTAGTTAGTCTGCAATTTAGATGACATAGACCTGCTTTTTCACGGATATTTTCACAGATTTGTGAAAGTGCCTTAACTTAAAGAGCATCTCTTTCACTCCAATATCGTTATCTTGAATCTAAATTTCATTTTTAGTTAAGCTTACGTGCACAGAGTGATGTGCTATACAGCATGATCTAGTTCACTGTATCAGTTTTACATTTAAATTGCTTATATAAGTAACTGCATTTATGAAACAAGTACAACCTCCTTATCAACCAGAAAGTTATGTGGGTTTCTGGTACTAGTACAAGCTACCAGAGCTTTCCTGGAAATTCAAAACCTCTAGTGAACTTCAGTTGGGGTTCTGGGTAATTTTGAAACCTCAAAGCCTTTGAAATTGTTGGCAGTCTGCCTGTGGCATATTTACAGTTACACAACTCTGCCCATTTAATTTTTAAAATCCCTTCTTCCTTTTTTCTTTTTCCCTGGGCCAAACAAAAACAACAAGGTCTTTATATTTGGTGGGGCACATTGTTCTGTGGAAGTGGGTTGCTTGGAGTTCACACTTCGTTTTCCTGCTGGTTTACTGGGAAGTTGGCTGCAATGCAAAAGACACGGGAATAGTTTAGAGAAAACAGGTATGTATAGGGAAGCCATAAAATAGCAACTGTTTGCATGCTTCCCAAATGTATGTCTTAATGCATATTTAATTCAGTAGCCTGCAAAATAATCCTTAATCCCCCAATCTCAGTATTTTTAAAAAAAATCCTTCCTTTTTAGTTTCCATTTATTGTTTTTACACATAACCAATTTGTGTTGTATTTTACAAACAGATTATTTTACAAGGTGTAGAAAAAATTATGATATTATTATGATTAATTTCTTCATTATTAGTGTGCTCTGAGCTGTTTGGAAAAGGAGGTATCTTAACATTTTGTTTGACTACTCTGATAGACCTATGGCATTAGTATAGCCAGCATAAATCCCAGGCTAAGATCCCTTCTGCCTACTCAGAAAAATACATGGCAAAGTTCTCTTGGGACTGTATCACTTCAGAATGCAGGTGGGGACAATGTACTGGAATGTTCCTCTGGGTTAACAAAGAAAAAGAAAACTCTTTACCCATGGAAAACAAAGGAGAAGGCTAGCTTCCACAGATGGGAAGTTTTTGATGTGGGGTAGCTATTCAAATCCACATTTGTGATCTGAAGTGATACAGTAGGAGGGGTGTATCGTATACTTTCCCCTCTCCTAAAATAACCAGCATATGATATGCTGATTTGGAGAATCACAATTGAACAATATGATGGTGCACTTCAGATGGTGCACTTCCAATGGTCACAGACCAGGTATGTGTCCTAACTCTGAGGCCTTGGAGGGATGGTGTTTTAAGTCTGGGCATGGGCTTGCATCTGGACACACAGCCTGTTGGGCTGGCATAGCATTCCTAGTTACATCGTCTTATTATGGCTTTTCTGATATTTACTTTGTATTTTCTAATTTCATTTTGACACAAGTCTAAACTTGTAGAAAATCAACTTTGAAATATTATTTTATATTATCTGTTTAGGTGTCTCTTGCCTAGGTGTTTACTGAATTAATCACTTCTATGTAACCAGTTTAAGTGAATATTTTCCAAAATGACAATAGTTCTTAGGAGGTGAACACAACCATGATTTGCTTCACAAAAGTTGTTGTTGTTCATCACTGCTGTCATGAGTATACTATGGGGCATTTTGTATCATTTGAAGAATCAGTTTATTTGAAAGAGAATATATTTCAGATATGTGCTATAATTCTTGACACAGGTGCTTGCTTTTTAAACTGTATCAACAGCAAGTATGCCGGTTGTGGGTCCCCCCCCCATTTCTCATATCTGTAATTCAAATGAAGAATATACACTGGATTTTAAAATGTTTGTCCCCTACTTTCTGCCCTGTGTGAACAATATTCACAAGTGACGCGTTTCAGATTTAAAGGGGTTTTTATAGGGTGACATGGCAGAATTAGCCCTTTGTTGCTATAGGTAAGATCACTGGTGGAAAGACAGGATTTTAGTGTCCTAGGCTAAGTGGTAAAATTACTAAGGGTGATCAGTGCCATCCTAAGCAGAGTTACACCTTTCTAAACCTATTGACTTCAATAGACTTAAAACACTGTAAGTCTGCTTAGGATAGCTATGTAAGATAATTCACAGACTTGTCCATAAGCCTAATTCTGGTAACGCAAAATTTGAACAACATGCCCATGATGGCATCTGCTGCAATGAATGTGTATGTATTCTTTAGTTTGCTTGAAATCCAGCACTGCTCATCTCTGAAGAGCTTTCATAAGCAGTTGAATGTTTTTGTTTTACTTAAGGAATGCACGTGAAAGGCAGAGAGAGGAACAAACAGCAGCCAGTCATGTCAGTGCTTCACAGGCAAAGAACCAGAGATGCCGTTTCCATATTGGAGAGCCTCATTTCCAGCATCTGCTGCTGGTTAACTGACTCATTTTAACACCTTCAGAGGTGTTTTGTTTTGTTTTTTAAAAAAATCCTAAATGCATTCTAAGCATATGAAAGTCCAGCTTTTTCAACTGGAGTAAATTACATAACACAGAACAATTTGCACACAGTGATATGCATACTTTGGGTGCCCTTAATATGGGGTATTTCTCTTGTTTTCATTTAGACAGGAACTTACTACTAATAAGATTTTTAAAAAGTAGTGAAGACAGACTAGAGAAAGCCTTCACAAAAGTAATGGTGCATGGTCATTCTCACCATGCCAAGAGAGTATCATAAAAAGTCCAGAGTACTTGTTGGGAAGCTTAAAACTCAGGATTTGTGGGGAAGAGACCCACCAAGGAAGGAAGGAAGGAAGGAAGGAAGGAAGGAAGGAAGGAAGGAAGGAAGGAAGGAAGGAAGGAAGGAAGGCATCCCTGAAAGCAGCAGTTTAAAATAGTTTAGAGTCTTCCTTTCTCTCTCTACCGTCCAGCTAGAGTCTTCTAGGCAGGGAGGAAGATACACTTCCCATTTTTCAGCAAAATAATATTTTATTATATTGTAGGGAATATTAATAACATTACGTATCTTCAACTGCTAGTTAGAGAGATGTTACGTGAATGTGAGTGAGAACCTTACATACAGCTAGGGCTTTAGCCAATGTTGCTACAGCTGCTGAAGAGACGTTGTTAGGTTTTTTAGTTGTTTCTCCCAACTGTATATCACTGTTGTTTGGAAGAATGCCGGAATAAAGTATATGCTCAGTGCAACTTGCCTTTCTGATTATCATCTTTTTCCTTCTCTGACTTTCAGGAAGCATTATCAGTTGTGAGTGAAGATCAGTCTTTGTTTGAGTGTGCATACGGAACTCCCCACCTTGCTAAGACCGAGATGACAGCTTCCTCTTCCAGTGAATATGGGCAAACATCAAAGATGAGTCCCCGTGTCCCCCAGCAGGATTGGTTGTCACAACCACCAGCCAGAGTCACCATCAAGATGGAATGCAATCCAAGTCAAGTTAATGGCTCAAGGTAAAGAAATGAATTAAAGACTGGAAGTGAAGCTCTCTTTGCACCTGTTTGAACATGATGTTTCCTCTGAGGATTCTCCCCAGTCAGGGATGGGGAGTGAGCTGCAAGCTTACATGTTCCCTCCCTTGAGAACAGGTGAATGGTCAAATTGGGAGATCTAGCAGTTATTTAAACATGAGCTTTCTCATAACCTTGAAGGGTGAAATACTGATTGAAGACACCCGCTACCAGTTCTTTCTGGGAATGAGAGGAAGTAATGTTCCCCCTAAAAGACCCTTTGTATCATCTTTTAATGGTGTGTTTGTGCAGTCCAAATAACATAATTTCTGTTCCTCTGGCAAATACAAAAAAGTCTGTATTGATCTACCGTGGACTGGCGGGGAGGGCGAGGTAAAGATCAAAATAGTAGTAGTAGTAGTAGTAGTAGTAGTAGTAGTAGTAGTAGTAGTAGTAGTAGTAGTAGTAGTAGTAGTAGTAGTAATAATAATAGGTTTAGCAGTTAGGATTTCAGAAGCTTACATCTAATTTAGCTTTTTTTTTTTTAAAAAAGTGCCCCACGTTTTGTTCTTCAGATTGCAAGGCTATGCATTGTAAACCAACCACAGCCTGATTTTTCAATGTTTTTCTGAGAAGTGGGCTTGCATTAGCAAAGAACTTTCAAAATCAGACTGTGAGGCAATATATTTAACTGGTATCCTCCCCCCTCCCTTTTTTTTTTGAGTTACAGGAGCTGAGACAAAATGCCTTTTAAACCTATATGCTGTCTTTTTTCCTTTAGTGCAAAAGGATGCATTTATATGCTTTAATAGTAAAACAATACTGATGCTAAGTCAAAACTTGTCTTTTAAATTTGCACAGCATGAAAATATTTGTAATCACCAAATTCCACAGTATATTAAAACTTTCAGTATCCTGAGATCTTTGTAACAAAGTTGATTTCAGAAACTCATATCTTTCTTTGACTTTATTTAGCCAATCACTTCTGAGTGGTCCAAGCTTTGATTTCCAGCCTTTAGCAAAGAGCAGTCAGTAAATGTAGAGCAAAAACCAGATAATGTTGTGACATAAAAGGCCATATAATTAAACAAGACAAATTCAACCGATTTCTTCAGATTCCTCAAATATGACAGACATCAATGTAATTATTGAATCCCAAAAGTATTCTGTTCTGCTGTAATACCACATATTTAAAAAATGGTGTTCAGCTGTTGAGAAAACAAGCAACAATATCTGCGATTTCTATAGATTCTAGCAAATCAAACTGATATAAGGTGCCACTCTGTGAATTTATGATGCACCATCTTACCAATGTTCCCTTTGAACACTGTAGAAACTGAGAAAGAGGGACCATAGGTAAATATGTTAGACCCAATTCTTGAATCTATGCCATAGCCTAATGACTTCCTCCATTTCTTAACATAACTAGGGGTCAAATTACTAGTATTTTCCAATAAATAACTATAATGGGTTGACATTGTACTTTGATTTTGTAGTAAACAAATTTAAACCTTGTTCATCTCAGCCCCCAGTTCTCAATGATATAACTTCTGATTTACTGGGTTTTTTTCTCATTGTTATTGTATCCTGTATGGTGGTAAATAAAACAAAAACCACAAGAAAAAGTAAGCTTTAATAGTAAAGTATACTGCCGTCAACATCCATGGACTGGTATTACCTGAATGTAATAAGTATGATTTCTTAATTCATTTTTGATACTCACATCTGACAGAAGCCACTTGGGCTGATACTATTTCTACTGGGGTATGGGGGAAAGTGATGCAGCTGTTTTCATATTCCCAGGACTGGAAGAAATGTACCTTTATTCAAATAATGTAATTTGTTTAATTGATCAGTCTTTAGAAGGCTGCATGAGAAATTTCTGCATCCATCAGAGGACAGAAGGTTAGTGTTATTCATGCATGCACTAGTATGGTACTAGTATGAAGCAGAGGAAGCCAGAGGGGCAAGAAGCCTAAATCATTTCCAGGTGTTGCTTCCCCTTATCTTAAATTATGTCTAACAGTGACTTCAATATACATGTGCAAGGTTAATATTCAAAACCTTAGTTTGATGGCAGGCGTGTAGGAGCTGTGTGAGTTGTTGTCTAGTCCCAATAAGGTTTCATAAGATGGAAATTAGCTTAGGGAAGGAAGAGGCTCAAACAAGGCTGCTAGTCCAAGCAGTGGTTAGTAGCATCTGTTTGATAAAATTATTATCTGAGTGCAGTCTGAACCTATTAAAACTGGGATTGCTGCTGATTTCAAGGAAAATGGGGCTTATACCCAACTAATAGAAGATCTTTATGGGACCAAATTCTTAGTAAAATGTAATCGTAAATTCCACAGATAACCTTGCTTCACATTATTTTGGCTATTTTGGTTCACATTAAAGGTAAAGGTTCCCTTGCTCAAAAGCCAGTCGAATCCGACTCTAGGGTTGTGGTGCTCATCTCCGTTTCAAAGCTGAAGAGCCAGCGCTGTCCAAAGACGTTTCCGTGGTCATGTGGCCGGCATGACTAAACACCAAGGCGCACGGAACGCTGTTACCTTCCCTCCGAGGTGGTCCTTATTTATTTACTTGCAATTTATTGCTTTCAAACTGCTAGGTTGGCAGGAGATGGAACTAGAGACGGGAGCTCACTCCGTCATGCGGCAACTCGGGTCTTGAACTGCTGAACTACCGACCTTCCAGAGCCTGCAGTTCAGCGTCTTAATTGATGACACTATTTTAAAGTAAAATTTGCAGAAATTCTACCAAAAGCATAGAATAGATTTCCATACAATAATTCATTTTTCCTTATGATCAGCATACTGTTTAGCAACCTCCAATGACAAGCAATTCCTACCCACAAAGGCAGGCATAGGGCAGCTATGACTTCCAGTGTACAGCTATTTTTGAAACCACAAGAACAATATGCTTACAAGTTCTTGAAATGAAATACAACATAAGAAATATAATCCAATGTCATAATAATAGGTTTTCTATCAAAATAATGAAGAGCAAAATAAGAGAATATAGATTTAGAAAACTGTAGGCCAACTGAAAGCTATTGTGGTTTGTTGCTTGGTATCAGTATTCCAGAATTCTCCCATCAGTAATTAAATTGTAAATAAGGTATACAAGAAACATCATTTTGTAACTGGCAATTAGGGTTCCCACCCTCTTCACCCTTTCTTCACTTTAACCTTGCACATAAGAAATATTGAAGTGTCTGCAGACTGCTCTCATGGAGAAAGAATCAAATGTAGTAAAACTTAAACCAGCTGTTTCCCTGCACTGCAAAAACAAAGACCAGTGCTGGTAATATTTATAGCTTGCTTGGCCTCTAGTGAGCCAGATGTTGACTGCCTTAATTTGCTGTGATGGCCTTAAGGCTTAGAGCAGCTGGAGAATGCAAGAGAGCCAATGAAATGGAGTATGAGTGGACTGTTTTCACAAAGCTGTGTTGCATTATTAAAAACACATAGCTTTTTGCCTTTGTATCTCAATATATCTTGCTTTATATTATTTGAAGTGACTGTTGCTGGTGTATAGCATTTGCTTGTCATTTCACTGTGTGATATTATTTCAAGTCATCCATACAAACAGGTCAACAGACAATGAAGATAGGATTCAAGGGTGCTAGGCTGACATTAAGCATTTTGGTACCTTACCCAACATAGAAATTTGATTGCTTCATGCTGAATATGAGTTCCTCAGTTATCTTGCCTGGCTGAGCTCCCACTCCCAGTCTTATAACCATGGCATCCAGATCGTCCATGCTGGGGTCATAATCTCACTACCCTGTCCTGTATGCCCCTTGGTGAATCTTGGCCCTCATGCTGAAATTGGCTGTTATAATTCATCCACTGATACTCTCTCCCAGCCTAAACACCTAAGCAACTCCTCCACTCCAATGCAGAAATTCCCTTTACCTGTTGATTCAGTCCTCACAGTCTGATAACTCCAAGTAACTTCTCACCCTATAAACTTTAAAGTTCATATTGAGGCCCCGTTCATACGAGGCAGTTTGGGCCGGGAGCGGGCCGGTTTGGAGGCGCATCAGACGGGCGCGATCCCACGGCAACATCTGCCTGGCATCACGCTCCCGCCTCCAACCCGGCCCTTCCCCCGATGAAGCGCGTCAAAGATGAACCACCTACTTCGGTGGTTCATCCGGTTGAGGCGCTTCATCCTGGCCGTGGGATCGGCGGCGCGGCTTGCCGCCGTCGCATCCCCGGCCCCCTGCCGTACTGCGCATGCCGTGTGGCAGGGGCCATAGATAGGTATTTATATACCACCATGAATGTGCATGGGGCTTTATAGAGAAAATTAGTCATGTCCTGAGAATCTTACAATCAGAAACTAAAGCCAACAAAGAAAGGAAAAAATAAACAGGAGGAGAATAAAACAATTGTAATTCTATCTTGTACCCAACAACAACCTTTTTGGCATAGCAGTTTAAAGAGAAACAAACAGGAGGAAAATGAAATCCTAACATGTATCTCTCCTTTTAGAAGCCAGAAAATTTGCCACCATTTCAATAATTACATCATTGTGGCTGGAAACAAAATAGAGGGACTTATGTTCATCAGGTTGGCTTATTAGAGCCAATAATAACTGATATTTTTGTAATTTGTGGAAAATGTGAAAAAACACTTTTTTTGTTTTAAAGACAAGCCACTTTAGGTTTAGTGTTTTAATTTTTTTTTTGTAACCCACTTCCTAGCAGACTTCTTTGCTTATTGAACACTTTGTGCTAAGAATTTAGGGAGCAAATTCCCTCCTGCATACTGGAGTCTGATAGGTGTATTGAATACAGAGCAATGTTGGAATAAATCAGTCATGGAATGCAATGATAGATAACCAAATTGGCCTGTGGAGCCCCTGAAACAATTTCACACCATGTGGTTTAAAAGAATGAGAGTATATAACAATTACAGTTCATGTAGGGTTGCCAAGTCACTTACTGCTAATAGCGGGGAAGAGTTGTTCCTTGCTGGGACATGCGTATGTGTGCT